AGTCACTAAAGCTTTGCATAAATCTTTATTAAAAATAGCTTGTTCACTTCTAGACGATCTAGATTATAAATATTGTTTTAAGGGAAGTTGACTTTGTCTGCGAGTGTCTCTATATTTCTGCTTTACTATATGTGAGGGTGTTTTCGCGTGTTGGTCGATTTAAAACTTTTTTTACATGGAATCTAAAACAAATAAATTCCTGTAGATGTTAAAGTTTTAATTAAATTAAATAAATGCGTACGTTGTAAAGTTGACCTACTTTTTTTTTAACTGTAAATTGAAATAATATTTTACTGTCATTTGATTTACCATTGTGAAAGGTCAAAATAAAATATAAAATAAAATAGTACTTACAATTTTAGAACATGTTTTACAAAACACCTGGATATCACCTTCTACAACAAAATCTGAATAAGATTTTACCCACGACTCAATTAATTTTGCCATTTTTCCCAGTGGTTAACACAACACAACAATAAAGACTGAAATGAAGTTGAAAGTAAACTGAGTCATTTAGAAATTTGAAGATATAAATACAACTACCTGAAAGGATATTTAGCAAAATTTGTTGGTTTATAATTGTTTATAATTTAATCCTCTCAAGAACCTACACCATTAACCGTAATTTATTACAGGGAAAAGTTAATCCTTTAAAATTTTAGGAAATCGAACTGTAAAGGCATTTCACAAAATACTATTTTGGTCCAAAACTCATAATTTTAATATGTCCAGCCAATTAGTACGTCAGATATATGCCAAAAAATTAACAAAATGTCAATATATGCATTCAAAATCAAAAATTGTATTTATATGCAAAATATGGCGTTTTGCATATATTCCTAGCTCTAGTTATAACGTTAAAATCGACAGTGTTTGGGTTGCGGGAGCTAGTTTTTTTGAAGATTTCAATTCACTAATCGTCAGTCCATATTTTTTTTTTTTTTACTGAAATACATGTTTTTTGGAATGAACAAAAACTAATACAAATAAATACAGCTCTCCATAAAAAAAATTGAGGGAACAAGGGCGGCCCCTTAAAAAAAAGCCAATATCACTTATAATAGGATTAGGATGGTTTTTATCCTTTCATGATTTAAGTGGGTTTAATTTTTGCTTTAAGTAATAGCTCTTCAATTAAAATAGCTACCAAATTTTATAAGAATCTAACAAAACGTTATTGAGTTATTAAGAAACATTTCTCTTAACTTTGAAGCTTTTTCTCAGGCAAACGAAAAACTTTGTGATATAGATAATTTTGGCTCCAAGGACTTATTTTAATCTCACCAACATAAAGTTGCTCTATGTACACAGAATAGTCTTGGGGAAAACATTTGCTGAACATCTAAAGAATTTAGAAGATGTTTTTAAAAGACTTCAAGCTGCCCAACTGATGCTAAACCTCAAGAAATGCCAGCTGTTCCAAAATAAAGTCAATTACCTGGGTCCTATAGTAAGTAAGGATGGCGTGGCTGTAGATAAGGAAAAAGTCGCTTGTATCAACGAGTGGCCACAACCAACTGATAAACACCAAATAAGAAGTTTTCTTGGGCTTTGTATCTACTATTTAATATTCGTAAAGAAGTTTGCAGATATTGCTAAACCACTAACGCGACTCACAGAAGAAGCGAGAAAATTCTGCTGGGACGAAAACTGCCAAACTGCCTTCGAAACTTTAAAGAAGCATTTAACAACAGCACCAATACTAGGCTACCCACTATCAGAGGGAGAATTTATCCTGGATACTGACGCTAGTAATGTGAGAATTGAAGGAGTGCTTACACAGATTCAGGAAGGGAAAGAAAGAGTACTAGGTTATTTTAGTAAAGTGCTTTCGAAACCTGAACGAAATTACTCTGTCACAAGAAGAAAACTGCTGGCAGTTGTAAAGTGTGTGGAACATTTCTACCAATACCTGTACAAAAGGAAATGTTTAATCCGTACCGATTATGCCGCTCTTAAGTGGTTGATGCAGTTCAAAAACCCGGAGGATCAAATAGCCAGATGGATTAAACGACTTCAAGAGTACGACTTTAAGATCGAACATCGAGCCGGAATAAGTCACAGAAATGCCGATTTTCTCTCTAGAAGACCATGTCAAGCAGAGTGCTCCCACTGCAACAAAGCCAAATCCAAAGAAATTGGACTACTAAAAACAACTGTAGTCAACGATAAGTGGGCCCCTGCTAAAATTAGGGAAGAACACGAGAATGATACCGTTTTAAAGAAGATGGCAATGGAAAGAGGAAAATCGTCGACCTATTTGGCAAGAAGTATCTAATATCTCTCCAGTATTTAAGTCGTATTTGGCTCAGTGGAACTCCTTTATCCTGGAAGATAGTTTATTAAAGAGAGTACTTGAAAATGATGATGGTTCCGAGAACAGAAGACAGTTGGTCATTCCTAGAAGTAGAATAGCTGAAGTACTCCGTCAGTTACACGACAGTCCATCAGGAGGACATCTCGGTGTTAGGAAACCCCTTCAGAGAGTTCGAGAAAGGTTTTACTGGATGAACAGTTCCGATGATGTAAAGGACTGGTGTAAGAAATGTACCACCTATGCTATGAGTAATGGACCTCAACGAAAAAGGAAGGCTCCCATGAAGCAATACAACGTTGGTGGCCCATTTGAAAAGATCGCCTTAGATATTGCTGGACCATTCTCCGCGACCGAGGATGATAATAAATACATTTTGATGGTTACGGATTATTTTACAAAGTGTGTGGAAGTCTATGCTATTCCAAATCAAGAGGCCGCAACTGTTGCAGATGTATTGATAAAAGAGTTTATCTGTCGATTTGGAGTGACCTTGGAGATCCACAGTGACCAAGGCAGACATTTTAAAGGTCAACTTTTCCGTGGAATCTGTGACAGACTGGGCATGAAGAAAACCAGAACCACAACATTGCACCCAAAATATGATGGAATGGTAGAGCGAATAAATAAGACCATTTGCAAATATCTGTCAAAAGTGGTTTCAAACCATCAGAGAGATTTGGATTAGTATATTTCGCTCTTTATTATGGCGACAAAGTCTGGCTTCATAACCCAAAAAGACAAAAGGGTTATTCTCCGAAGCTTCAAAGGTCTTGGGAAGGTCCGTACGTCGTCAAGAATAAAATGATGTAATTTACCGTATAAGTAAGTTCCCAAACGGTAAACCAAAGGTAGTGCACCAAAATAGGCTGGCGCCAATTGAGGGTGACCATGAAGAAGAAGTAAACCAACTTCAAGAAACACCAGACCTTGTCTTTGAAGAATTTTTGGGTGCATATGGAGGTACTGGAAAAGCCAGATATGGTGTTATGACCAAGCAACAACAAGATCTGCTCTCGCTTCCGAAAGACTACTCGCTGGTCCATAGTACTTCCGCCAGCATCAACGACGCGCGAGGACTAGCATGTGTGTTCCGTAAGAAGTTCGGTCGACTGGTAGAACTTCCGTGTCAATTACCAGTCCCTGGAAAAGCCTTGAAACTTCAAGACGGGTCACGTTATCTTTTTTATTTAATAACGAAGAACACCTTCCAAGATCGATCCACCTATCAGGATGTATGAAAAGCATTACTTAGTCTAAGGGAGTGCGTACGGGAGTTCAATGTACAAAAACTAGCCATGTCGAAGAAAGAAGGAACTCAGCTGAATTGGAGGATCATTAGGAACAGGGTGGAAGTAATCTTTCATGATAGCGGAGTTTAAATACTGGTCTGCAGCCATTCGCCCAGTGAACAGGTTACAGCGAAGACAGTCCCTTGTTACTTCCATGCAACTGGAAATTGTAGAAGAGGATTTAGTTGCAGATACAACCATTCCAGTTTATTGTCGTAAGAGTTCCAGGAGGAACTATCTCTTAAGGAGGGGGCAATGTAATGTGAGCCATTTCATTATTCAGTCATGTTCTAATCCTTCAAGTCCCTCTCTGTCTTATTTGGCCTTTGAGGCTCAACTTGTCCAATTATCATACATAATTAAACCCCTTTAGACCAAAAATATGTGACGACTATGGCGGAGGAGCGTTCGATGTCTATTTGAGAAAGAACATGATAATTTTTCTAGGTGAACTTTTTGGCACCTTTGCCAAACTTTTAAATTTGTATATAAATATTGGTGGAATATTGGTTATTATGTGGACAGTGAAGATAAATAGTGAACAGTTGAAAGACATTTAAAATATATATAAATTATAATAGAAGTGTTATAAAATAAATAAATGTTTAAATAAATTATTAATAAAAAAAAATAAACAAACATCACAATATAAAACTAAGGCATATGTTAGACATAAATTAATTTTAAGTTTAACAAAGTGACAACAACAGTCAGACGAATGAGAAAGCAGATTTATTCATAAAAAATAAACCGCAAAAAAAACAAGGCTTGTATTTATAAACCGATCTCACCTGAGTCGGACTTGGCTAAGTCGTCCTTAAAGGAAAATCTAAGTTCGGTTATAACTTCTCTAGAGTTCCAGGTGGTTCTGGTGTTACACTGGAATTTAGAGATAAACAGTAGCACATTTACAGATTTGTAGCTATTCATTTCTAAATTCGCGTGATATAACTTTCGATTTTCGTTAACGGTTTCACATGAGATTTGTTTATAAATACGGGCCATAATTCTGGGTAAATAATCTATAAGGATTGACCCCAAATAGAACAGAGAAGATTAAAAAGGAGAAGGAGAAGATACATGTAACTGTTTGTATTAGATAAAGATATAAATTGTATAATTAGTTGATGGTTTTATTAAATAAATAAAATTCATAATAATAATTGTATTTAGTATTCATAAAAATGTATTATATTTATTTTATTACTTTTATTAACGGAAATTTTTATGGTGTTTAAATAAGAACTTAGCTTATCTTATCTTTTCTTTTCTTTCATTAATATCGATATGAAAATATATGTATATATTGCCTAACATTAATTAAAAATTTTAATTAATTTAACACATTTTTTATTAATATAGCATTGCAATAAAAGCGAAAAAATAATCTAAACATGAAAATAGCAGTAATAGGTGCTGGTCCAGCAGGTTTATGTGCACTTAAAACTTGTTTAGACGAAAATTTCAATTGTGATGTTTTTGAAAAAAGTGGTGTCATTGGTGGTGTATGGAATTATAATGAAAAGATTGGTATAGACGAATTTGGAATTCCTATTCATAACTCTGTATATGAAGAATTAAGGTATTTTTTTATAACTTTATTAAAGATTTAGATATCTCATTTTTTTTTTTTTTTAGAACAAACTTACCAAAGGAATTAATGCAATTTGAAAATTTTCCATTTAAAGGTCCGCTATCTTTTGTCTATCCACCAGATGTTATAAATTATGTAAATAAATATGCAGATGCTTTTAATTTACTTCCTCATATACAGGTAAAATTTTATACTGTGTCACCGGCAATTATTAATAGGGTTATTATACCCGTGTTCTGTGTAGGCTTTGTTTTTTTTCCAGTCCCATACGAAGACGAATAATCTTGTGTTTTTATACCTCACAATACTGACAAATATGACTTGACAAATAATGGAAAAATTATTTTTTTTGCTTAGGCACATAAAGCTGTCACTTTATATGCCTAAGCATACTCTATAGGCCGGCTCACGAGATAGGAGGTGCCTATCATCTAGGAGGATGCACAATGGGCCTAGTGAGGCCTAAGTGTCGTGGTTGGGGCCCACCCTCCACACGTTACAGATACAGATTCCTAAGTATATAAAATAAAAACAAATGTTAAATATATACTTGATGTATATATAAATTGCTCTTGCTGTTTTCTTGAATTTCAATTTCAGGTAATGCACAATAAAATTCGAAAGCAGACATATTTACATGGTCAACAGATTATAATAATTATAGCAGCGACTTTATTGTGAAATCTCGAAATATTTTATTATTGGCTTCTGTTTCTATAGAAACAATGCTTCTTATGGCTTATTTGTGTGTACATAAATTTAAAATCTTTGCCATTATGATTCTGGAACTTACGGTTTGAACAACAAATCGTATAGAGTGTGTCTACTTAAGTTGGAACCATATGGAAAACATTTTAATTATTGATTTTAGGAAAAAAAGTTATTCTTGATAAAAAGTCCTGCATGACCCAAAACTTAAAATACAGTCATCAGATATCAAATTTTTCAAGCCGTATACGAGGTTTGTCAAAAAATATGAATTTTGCTCAATAGTAAAGTATGTTTATTTTTTTACAAAATCGAAAATTTTCAGTAAGAAATTTGCTAAATTCTTCACAAACATCAACAAAAGGAAAGCGTATCATGTTTATAGTAGCTAACGTAATTTATAACGTTTTCAGATATTTACAATCAATGTGTAGAGTGTAGAGTTTAAAAAAAAAATAAGAAAATCTGTTTTTCAGATAGATCGGTGTAATTGCATATTTGAATGTAATATTTAATTTTAATTAACTTTTCTTAATGAAAATTTTCGATTTTGTCAAAAATAAACGTACTTTACTCTTGAGCAAAATTCATATTTTTTGACAAACCTTGTATACGGCTTGAAAAATTTGATATGTGATGACTGTATTTTAGGTTTTGGGTCATGCAGGACTTTTTATCAAGAATAACTTTTTTTCCTAAAATCAATAATAAAAATGTTTTCCATATGGTTCCAACTATATTATTTGAAGCAAAATTCGCTGTTTGTGCTTCAGCTGATTTCACTTCCTCACTTTGTTCGGCAGCTTTATCACAAAAAGCCTTATAGTATGAGAGCCCACTGCAAATTTTGACCGTCATCTGATAACGAAATGAAATATGCTCTAAAGGCAAGTAACAACATTGTAGTTTACCAAATTGCACCTGTGCCATTCCCTATCCTGAGCAAAGTGGTTAAAAAAAATTATTTAATATTCAAAAAATCACATAAAACATGACAGCGACAATTATATTTTCCCTGAAAATTGCAATCCTAATTCATTGTGAACCTAGCTTCTAAACCTGAATTATTAATATTTTTATCTACTCCTCTAATTTATATATTAATTATTCAAGTGCTTTTGAGCAATTAATAGTATCAATAAACAAATAGCGTAAGTTATAATAGTGAGTTATTATAACTCACGCTGGGCTCCTACGATAATTCGGAATATAAATAAATAAATAATAATAGTAAATTCTTGGAAATTTTAATGTCGATAAATGTTCTATTGGCGTAAAATGTTAGGAAGATTTTTAACAACTGGAAAGGCATGAATAATAATTAAAAGATTTTAAAATTATTAAATTGTCAACGCCTCTCAGTAGGCGAAACACTCAATTATTACATTGAGGGGAGTAATGCCATTTGAAATTTTGACAAGATAATTTTGTTAACGTTTTCAAATCAATTTCTAATAATAGTGCTAAAAAAAGATGAATTTAGATAGTGAAGATAAGTTATTATGTATACCTCCAGAAATAAGAGAGATAATAATGCAGAATTTAGTACCAGAAAAATCAAAAAACATGTATAAAGGTGTATACTAAAATTTTCAACATTGGTGTAACTCGTTTACAGAAAATGTACTTTTGGCATATTTTAATGAACTTAGCAATAAATATAAAGCATCGTTTCTATGGACTTTCTACTTCTTGTAAGAAGCACACTTAACATAAATAATAGAATTAATATAGATAATTATTCAAAATTACGTGGCGTTTCTTCAACGTCAATCAGAGAAACATACAGCTAAAAAAGCAAAAACATTTATGCTAGAACAACTTAATAATGTCATAAATAAAGCTCTTCATGAGAAATATCTGGCGACAAAGGTAATAGCTTTTACAAAGATTCAAACGTTTTTATCATGTAGTCTATTATATAATTCTTTCTCGATACTTGTATCTTAGTATTTATTGTTATAGTCGTAGATAAGTATAGTATTCAACCTGCGGTAATGGTCATAACTCACTTGATGAATTACAGCACTCGCCTGCGGATCGTGCTGCAAACTTCATCTGCGTGAGTTATGACCTGCATTACCGCTCGTTAAATAATATACTATTACCCACCTTTTAAACCATGTCTATCCCAAGTAACAATTTGATATTTTATAAAAGCTGAAAAAATGTTTACAGAACCAAATTTATAAAATAGAATATTAGCTAAGAACATTTCCGGAACATTCTTTCAACAGTAATAAACACAAAATGGGCGCAGTATTACAGAACTATTTGGTTCTTTTGTAAATTCTATAAGATTTGTTGAATGCAGTTACCGAACAGTTACTACACATTTACACAGACTTTAAACAAATAATTTTTTTAAACTTTTATAACTGTTTTATAAATTTTCAATTTTGAGGTTAGGTTGCATATCAAAATTAGTAACATTTTAGTTTTTTAAATGTATCTGGTGATAACAAATTAATTCTATATTTGTCATAAAAGTAAATTCAAGGCGATATTAGTAAAATGGCAGTATCTACTTAAGAGATATCTATTCGCTCCGTGCGAAGTCATGAAAAGGGAAGCAAAAGCGATACTAGCGCTAGCTGCGGATAACTCGTGCATTTTAGGGCGATATTTTGTAATTTTGGCATATCAAATACACGTATACATTTTACTTTTTTTCAAAAAAGTAGGTAAAAACAATACAATAAGCAACCGGAGTTGCTGTGTTGAAAATTGTACAAATACTAGCAAAAAAAACAGTGAAACTTATATAAAAAAATTCAGTAGCAAAGTGGAAATTAAATCAAAGAAATAAATGGATAGGTGTACAATAAAAAGAAAAATTACCTTTATTTTTGTAATAATAACAATAATGCTGGAAATAGTAGACATCAGAAACTTGAAAGGTTTTAAATAAACAATAAATTATCATTTTACGATGTTCTTTAATATCCCTTTATTCTTAAATGTTCATTCAGCAAGGACTAGATTTCAAGATTTCTGCCTTTGATTATTTATATGTTACTGGAATGCAATTTTGTGACTTACTGATGGGAAACCAGTTTTAATCATTCATTCTATGTTTTCCTTCGAACAAAAATGAAAATATAAATAACGATCCTTTTTTTATACATTTTACTTCACGCTATTATTAAATGGTATTTTTTTATTTTGATAGAATAGGCTAATTCTTTAATGACAACTTATTAGACTTAGACAACTTCTCATACACTTTCTAGTAAATACGGTTGCCTGCCTATATTTTATTATTGATTTTTAGTGATTATACATAATTTTCTTTAATTTAAGCGATAAAAATATATAATAATAATAAATTAACGTTTTACTTGTTTTAAAAATCCATATAATTTTATTAAAACTAACATATATACTTTTTAATTACGAATTCTATTAAAAATTGTATTTGTTAGTATACGCAGAAATAGTCCATTAGTATCAAAACGAATTGGCGCTGCTGTCGCGCACGGAGCGAATAACGCGGTTTAGACATAATGTATGACCTACAATAAAGTCGTTTTTGGATGCGCAGCAAAAATTACTGTTAATTATATAGCACATACAATACAAAATTTTTAAGCGCCTCGAGTTTGATTCATATTTCTAATACTTTTTCAGTGTGAAACAAAAATTAAATTTATGCAATTTGATTTTTTTTAGTAATAAGATTATGCTAATATTACTAATAATTAAAATCTTTAATTAACATTGGTTTTGTCTTAAATACTAGTAAAACCGACAGTAGATTTAGCTTTAAAACTGTCTTAGGTTTTTGTTAAATATGGCGGCTATTCAGAGGTATTAGAAAGTTATTTTAAGACTGAATCATAATTATAAAATATCATTGTAGTAAAAACAGCTGTAATACAATAATTAAGTTGTATTACTCATTTCTACAAAACAAGTTCATCATGGTTTGTTGTATAATAGTTTCATATTGCTGCACTATATGACAAAATATAACATAACCTTACTAAATCATTTCCGATTTAAGTATTTGAGAATTGAAATGATTAGATTTGTTTCTACAGCTTTATAGAGCAAGCATAATTTTTAATATTACGAGAATAAGCAAGTTTAATATGGACATCGCCAAAAATATGGCTTTCTTTTAGTATTGGGGCATGATTATTCAGAACATACCTAATTATTATCTGGCTGAATGATAGTTTTTTTTTGAGTGTCTAGACAAACCAGCAAAATGTTTTACTAATATTTTTTACTGTTCTCTGAAAAGCAGGTACCACTTATTTTTAATATTTCTTTACTATTTAAATCTGACATTTTCAGACCATACACTCACATACAATTGGTATGGGAAGTAGTTAAACGAACATAAAATACAAAATAATCTGGCGTAGGCAGAGCTGTTTAAGATTATTTTAAAAACGATTTAAATCAAAGATCATAAATCATTTGCATTTGAACAAATGATTTAAATCAAAGATCGATTTTTTAAAAAGAAAGATTTAAATCAAAAATCTTTTTTAGATTTAAATCTTTTTTACAATTTAAATCATTTTAGGAAAGATTTAAATCTTTTCGAAAGATTTAAATCTTTTCAAAAGATTTAAATCATTTAAGGAAAGATTTAAATCATTTCGAAAGATTTAAATCTTTTCAAAATAAATATTTTCAAAAGATTTAAATCTTTTTATAGATTTGGGTAACTCTTTAAAAAATGCTTTCGGTAGGCCAAAGATAATGAATACTTAAGTAATGTGATTTTCTCATAAATAAAACGCAAAACTCGATCAACTTTTCTCGTATTTATTTTTTATCGTTATTAGCCCAATGCAATTCTTACGGAAATATTAATTTTAAATAATCAAGATAATATTTTTAAGGATTAATGCAGCATTGATATCTATAGTTATGAAAATTGTTATTTAAAAATGTCATGTCAATTGGTAAATAGGAATTTTTCAACCCTTTAAAAGATACTCTTGGTATGCCTATGATGCCACAAAACAATGAAGACTTAGTTTTTAAGAAAAGTGATTTTTTTTTTCTGAAAAATCACTCAAATCCGTCAACTCTTCCTTAAGTTAACGTGCTTAATGTCATACATACATAAACACCCCACATAGATGCACATACATCAGACTCTTTAAAAATATGTTTTTTTTGTACTTATGAGACTCTCCCGGAAAAATGCATTTCATTTTCAAAATCTCCCGGCTATGAATAATGAAATTGAGTGGGTTGAATTAAAAGAGTTCTTCTCTCAACGTAAAGTTATTGCGAGTAAATAAATAACCAAAGTAAGCGCGTTTGGGTTAATTTTTATGAAAAATGTGTGGATGAATTAGGCAAAGAAATAAAAAATTTAATTAATTCGCTCTATCTATGCCAAACGTGTTTATTGAACTGGTCAAAAAGTCATAATCGTCTTAATGCAACTTATGTCAAATCTGAAATAAAAGTGTGCATAAATTTAAAATACCTATGTTAAGAGTTTCAGGATATTGTAAAATTTCATACTTAAAAATAATCTTTAGTCATTGCAATTATTTGTTACACTTTACTATTTTTTGTTTTTCTTTTCTCTCGGATTTCTGATTCAACCCTACTGACATGCTGACTAGATTATTATTCAGGAATAGACAGGTTGATAACGATTTTGACGAATCAGGTGATGTAAATCGTTTTAAAAATATTTAAATCTTTAAGAAAATTTAAATCATTTTAAAAAGATCGCATCATTTTACAGATTTAAATCATTTCAGAAAGATTTAAATCAATAAAAAGATTTAAATAGTTTTAAAAAGATTTAAATCGTTTTAAAAAGATTTAAATAGTTTTAAATAGATTTAAATCGTTTTAAAAAGATTTAAATCGTTTTAAAAAGATTTTAATCGTTTTAAAAAGATTTAAATCTAATTTTTAAATAAAAAATCAAAGATACTTTTCAAAAAGATTTAAATCATAAATCAAAAATCATTTTTTTTAAAATGATTTAAAATCAAAGTATTTAAATCAAAAAAAGTATTTAAATCAAAAAATGATTTAAATCTCACTGATAGGTGACAGCTCTGGGCGTAGGTACTACCAAATGTAGTTGCTTTATTTTTTTTTTATAAATATTTTTAAAGTGATAATACTATTCTTAACGAAAATAATTGCTATACAGTTTTCTGATTTGTAATAGTGTATTTCGACAATATATTACAGTTATTTTAGAGTTTTCATCAGAAGCAAATTGCTATTGATGCGGAATTATCTCACACTAATATTTATATAACTATTTTTTAAAGCGTTATTATGAGGTTAAGAAATAGTTATATTTGTATAACCAAAAAGTTCTAAAGGTAATCCAGAACAATAATATAGAATAACTATAAAGCAATTTTATTTTATAAGCTGAAATATTGTATAGAACAGTTGTATAAATGTTTACGTAACAATTTTATAGTTATCGTGAAAACTATTTTATAATTTTGCTGTAAGAATATTGTAAAAACTAATTTATATAACAATTAAGTTTCAGAGAACAAAATGGTGATTTCTGCAACTGTAATACAATAAATTAGCATTCCAGACACAGCAATATAATATCAATAAAATATAATAGTCTTATAAACTAAAAATTATAAAGCTACTTTGTTAGTTGGGATGTATGAAAGGAAGAAGGATGGCATTGTATAAACCATTTGCAGAGATAGTCAATAATAATTTTAAACTCTTGTTAGACAAGTATTTTAAACCATAATCATAGTAGTTTTTTTGTCGTTTCTATGGCAACCTGTAAAAATAAATCACAACAATAGGCAAACAAATAAATTTTTAAATCTGCAAACATTGATTTATATTTTTAATGATATTTACCTACTCTTCGTGGATATATGTTTTTGTGTGATGTTAAGAGAAAGAAAATGTTTCCCTTTAACGATATATATCAAGGTATATTTGAATGTTGTTTTCTGGAAAACTTTAAGGGCAAACAAAATTAGCGCTATCATGCCTTATGTGATTTTTTTTAATATAAAATAATTTTGTTTGAGCTACTTTGCTCAGGATTGGGATTGGCATAGGTACCACTTGGTAAAGTACATTGTTTTTCCATGCTTTTAGGGTATATTTAATTTCGTTATCAGATGACGGTAAAAATTTGAAGTGGGCTCTTGGGCTAAAAGGGTTCTATTTTTTTTTACTTTTTTAGGGTCAGTTGGCATTTAATTCGGACCGTTTTGTGGTTATCACGGTTATAATTTTTTGTAGATCACTTTTTGTTTAGCAAATTGCTTAGGTTGAATAAATAATACTTCATCATATATTTTTCCATTTAAATTTCAGTTCCATAAAAATGTGGAAGAAATTCGACCACTCCCAAATAATCGATGGAAAATTATTATTCGTGATTTAAAACCAATGAAACAAGAATTAATAATTTGTGAATACGACGCTGTTGTTATTTGTGTGGGAAATTTTAATAAACCGTTCATTCCAAGTTTTAAAGGATTGGACAAATTTAAAGGATCAATTAGGCATAGTATTACTTATAGAAAAGCTGATCTATATAAGAATGGCAAAGTATTACTAGTTGGAAGTGGACCATCCGGATCAGACATAACAAGACAGCTTAGTAAAGTTGCTGAAAAAGTAAGTAAAAAATTAGAAATGTATTTAATATTTGATATATTAATCACCAACTATAAAAGTTAAAATAGAGTTAATCAATTCATTAGTAGCGTAAGTTTATCGATTATTTTTAATCTAACGACGTTATGAAAATTAAAATGTCAAGAACGGTTTCTCAGATACTCAACAAAAAACAAACTAGTGCAATTTATTCATTTATTTGGCTAAAATGCGTTTATTTTCAAGGATAGAAAAATGTATAAAAGAAAATTCTCTCAAAAATTGTCTAAGCCATATAATATAAAATAATAAGAACGACTCTACCCCTTCGGAAAAAAGTAATTCTTAGGCTAATACCGCAACAGGCATTAAATTTCAACCAAAGAAAAACAGCAAACAGAGACAGAAATTTAATTTCAACATTCTAATTTATATTTTGCTTACCAAGGATAAGGTTGTTCGCAGACGATTTCATCTTTAATAGAATTCATTAGCAAGAAATGGACAATTTCGACACTATTTTCTATAATGGAGTCTTTCAAATACGTTAAATTCACTCGCCTAAATTGATGGAGGTGAGAGAGTGTAGGAAATCACAGAGTAAAAATGGTAACGCCATCCTATGGGTAACGATCGCTCGCTTTATTTTGTGTCAAAGATTTTCTTATTTTCATCTATTTTACGTTTTGGTCAATTTAAGTTTGAAAATATTTTCCATTGTTTATAAAAGATTGTTTTATTAGCTTTTTTGTTTGAATAATTTTATAACATATTGTAATTGATTAAAAAAGATTTTAACCATCATAAATGCATTAAGTAAACTCCATATATAGTATTTTAATAATATTAGTATTTAAAGCACCAAAGTTAAATCACATATGAAAATCAATAAGAATTGAGAGTGGGAGTAATTATTTCTTGTGTGCAGGAATGCAATACTGAGGCCTCATAGGGAGGAAACCTCAGTGATATTATAAAATAAAAAATAATGATCGCAAAAGACAAAGCATGGAATGTCGGCATAGGGGTTCCACTAACCCTCGAAAATTGCGTGTGGTCCCATCAGCCGGTAAGATAATGGCTACAGTTTTTGGAACATTAAACTTGTTACTTTCGTTGAATATTTATTTTATTTATTTATAATACAATACTCTACAGGTCATAAACCCAATTACAGAGCAGGAATTGACAGAATATAATTATTAATAAATCACAATTTTTTATATGAATGTTAAGCACATAAAAAGAACTTGTATTTCGTAATAGGTAACAAATTAACTAAGATAAAAAGTGGGATTTTATATCTGACAAATTGCAACTAAATATATCAAGTTCATTGACAATAGAATTTTTTACTGTACACATGGTATGGAGCGGAGAATTTTCCAGAACATTTGTGCGATATGTATTTATATAAAAAGTATTCAGGTGTTCTGGGAATGCAAATATTAAACTTTTCTAATAAGGTTGGGCAGTCAATAATACTTTTAATAATTTTATAAGTTACTACTACACTATAATAATCACGCCTTCTTTCGAGACTGAAAAAGTTATGTTTTTATAGAAATTCAGAGTGAGGTGTACCTATTAGAGGATAAATGCCATCAGTTTTCAGGCTTAGCAGTTTTAAAAATCGTCTTTGAATTGCTTCTATTCGATCTATATAATACTGATAAAAGGGGCTCCACACAACTGAAGCATATTCTAACTTTGATCTTATAAAAGCATAAAATAGGGTTATTAAGGTAGAGGTTTCTTTGAAATCACTACTGCTACGTGCAATTAATCCATACATGCGATAGGAGGAGGATACAACATTATCAATATGCTTATTAAATGATAGTGCAGTGTCAAACGTGACGCCAAGATCAGTAAATGTTTTCGGTCGCTCAAGGGAAACGTTTTCTATTGAATAATTAAATATTAGAATATTCGTTTTTAAACTGTAGGACATAACTTTACATTTATCCGGGTTTAGTGATAACACCATTCAACAATCCGTGTTAAGTTTGCTGAAAGGTTCTCGCAATCACCTATCTTCTCTACTAGGCAGTATAGTTTTAGATCATCAGCATACAAAAGGAAATTTACGTTTATAACATCTGCAATATCATTAATGAACGTAATAAAAAGAAGGGGTTCTAGATTCGACCCTTGTGGGACACCGGAAGAAGCACTATATTCCGCAGACCTAAAACCATTAAGCTGGACATATTGCTTTCGATCCCATAGATAGGATTGATATTTACCGCGTGGGCGCACTATAACAGGCGAATATTATGCGAATTTAATACCAAAAGTACGCTAAGCGATCAGAGAAAAGAGAAGAGGAAAATTGATCAGAGTTGTGCTCTTTCACCAGGACAACGCCCCGGCCCACAAGAGTTGTGTGTTGTGTTGCAATGGCTGCCATTCATAACGCAAATTTTAAAAATGTTATTCTTTAGATATGGCCCCCAGCGACTACCATCTATTCTCAAAATTAAAAGAACATCTTCGTGGAATCAGCTTTGTTGACGATAACGAAGTGATGTCGGTGGTAGATGAATTGCTGGAGACTCAAAGTTCTGAATTTTTTTCAAAATAAGTTGAAACACTTCAACACTGATATACCAAGCGTATAAACATTGCAGGTGACTATGTTAAAAAATAAATTAGTTTCATTCTTCTCATGTGTTTTTTTCTATGTTGGGGACAATAATTCTATCCTCGTATTATACAAGTGTTATAAAAACGTTAAAAAATATTATTTTTGACGCAAACTTTTAAAGTGAAGTAGCATCTTATTAAGTTGCTGTAAATCTAAATTCCATTTATGCATGAGATCCAATTTATTTAAATGTTTTTATAAGTTTGTTGTTATTCTATAAAAACTTTTTTTCAAATAATGTTACTCTTTCTCGTATATTAATAATTTTTATAAGTATAAGTTATTTGGAAATGCCTAAGGCAGCGTGCGTAAAACACAGATGTTAGTTCTATCCCAGTACAGATTTTTTAAAAATTTTTCCATTAAGTTGTATTCAGTTTGAGGGCCAAAAGAATTTTTATTATTTTATAGGGTTAATTTTTAAAAATGTTTTGGGGAATTTTCTGAGAATGTATATTTACTTGGTCTCTGGATTTATAACAGATAATTTAATTTTTATATTATGTAGGTCATATTAAGTCATCGCAGTCCTCTAGAGAATAATATTACATTTTCTGAGAATGTTAAAACCAAACCAGAAATTGCAGAGTTCAGAGAAAATACGGTTTTGTTTATAGACGGAACTGAAGAGGATATTACTGATGTTTTATTATGTACAGGTAGATATGATTTAACTCAAAATTTAATAACAATAAGTTACGATAATTTATCGAATAACAACCATGCACATTTTATAAATCTTATATACTTATATTTTTACAATTATGGTCTAAATCTTTAGATTTCGATAGTCGTTCGTGACACACCTCAAATTTATCGGAAAACAACAATACTCTAAACTAATTGTCATGGTATAGCTCGTCCGAGTAGATTTTACGGAGATGCCGTTGCTCATGTCCGCTATAATAACGCTATAACTGGCTTTAGCTCTAAAAAATTAAAGAAAATTTACTAGTTGAACCGTGATGGACCAGTTTAACCTGCTGTGTACGTAGAAAAGTATAAAGGAAGGGCAAGAGTTAAAAGAGAACAAGTAGAAACATATTGACAGTTTAATTAAAAGAAAAAAAGACTTGAGGTCACAAAAGTCACAACCTAATTTGGTTCATATTTAATGCTATTTTTTATAGAATTCGGTCAGATCTACATTAGAACCTATTATCTTCTCTTTTAATTCTTACTCTCTTCATATACTTCTTCCCATTTTTTTTATACTGGAAGAACATCTGGTCGCTCATGGTTCAACTGGCAGGTACAATTTAATTTAAAACTTTTCAAGTAAATAAGGGAATATTACCTAGAACAGTGGTTCTTAAACTTTTTTAATGACGAAACCTTTTTGAAAAGCGAAATATTTGACAGAGCCCTAAACACTTTTCGAACAAAACAATCCTCCTTGCCCTAGCCTCTTGCCATTCCTTTGTGGAGCTCCCACAACAAAATTCTCAAAATCATATCATCCTTCCTATGGCCTCTAACCAAAATACTAAAATCATATACTCCTTTCCTCTTCCTGACTTTTATAAACAAAAAAAAGACGTGGTCCTTAAGCCAACTCCAGTTGTAGCGGTAGGTGCTGTTTTTTTTTTATCACTATTATTTTCTTCCATAAAGGCAAGGAGACAGCAAGCACTCAAGAAAATGCCAGACTACATAAAATCCTTTAAAAAGATAAACAAAATAATAAACTCTCCTAAAAACGAATAAGGAAAGTACACAAGAACAGGAAATAAAACTATAAGATAACTCTATAGAGTTTACTTCCTTGGGTCACAATCCATAGAACACACACCAAAAATTCAATTGGACTGAAAGTTCGTAGTAAAGCAAATAGCAAGGACTGGCAAACTGCCAAACAAGTGGTGAATTTTTACAAACTAAACTGGGTGATCAACTCATTTAAACAATACAAATCATAGGAAATTGACATGATTTATCCAATAATGCTACAAAGGGTACATTATATTTTACACATAAGACTCTGCAACACACTCATAAGTAGCCTGGCCCTGGCATTTGGTTACATACCAAAAGCATTGCATAATATAAGGAAATATAAGGGGTACTTCTATACCTTGGTAAATTGGACTGGCAGTCTCTAAGGCCAATAAGTCTAATGTTTTTCGTACTTAAGACTTTAGAGAAACTGCTAGATAGATATACTCGAGACGGGATGTTGGTTTAAACACCAATAAACCAGAACTAACATGCCTAGAGTGCAAGAAAATCAATAGAAATAGCTCTCCATCAATTATTAAAAAGGGTGAAGAACTGGAAAACAAAGAGGTAATGTTAGGAGATTTCTTGACCATTCCAGGGAGCATTCGACAATGCCTTTGTCGGATTTTAAAACAGAAAAATCGAGGACACAAGTGTGACCTGGATAGATTATATGCTAAGAGTGATAATGATGCATGCAACCATTATAAGAGAGAATACAACAGCAGCTCCGGTTGCGAGATAATACCGTCTCTACTTGTGTAAAACCTGGTTATGAGCTGCTTAGGTCTCAAAAATAATGGACAGAAAGTAATTTGGTATTACAATTAATTAAAAAATTTACCTAACTCAACATAAGAAAATCGGAAACATCACTAGTGATGACAACACGTTTCTTTAAAAAAAAATTGGGACGAAAGAGCGGCAATAACGAGACTAAGCAAGATAAAAAGACTGGCCTATCTTAAAATAACGGGGGCAATGAGAATAGCCCCTACAGCAGCAAGGGAAAAACTAATAGGCTAGTCATCACTACACTTTGTGATACAAGAGGAACAAGTTTAGGTGTTTACGGATTAAGAAATATCTTGAGAAATTCTAACATTAGACCAAGTCATATAAGTATCACAAGGTTAGTGGTTGGGGACGTACTACATATGAGAATAGATCACATAACTAAACGTTGCTCCTTTAACAATCCAGTCAAAATTTTAATACCAAAGAGAACAAAGATCACTATAAAGGAACCGAGTACCCAACGATAGAAAAATACCTGATACACAGACAGGTCAAGTACTGTGAAAGGCATTGGGGCTAAAGTATTCTCCAAAAATTGGAATATTCTCCAAAAACTGAAGTATAATTTAAAAACACCAACCTTAGCTATGCAATAGGAAGACTCTCTTTAGTATTTTAGGCTTGGGGTTATGTAATCTTGCAATATTCAAGAACAAACCATAAGAGAGCTATCTCAAATAGGAAGATCCAAATAATTTCAAACAGCCAGGCGGCCCTTAAGGCCTTATCAAGTTAGGTAGTGACGTCGAGGCTGGCACGGGATTGCATCTAAGAATTGAGAACAGTGGTAGACCTACATAGATTAAAACCAGTTTGGGTGCCAGGTCATCAAGGGATCTAGCGCAATTATTATAAGGCTGTTGAACTCCCAAAAACAGGATCAGAAGAAATACCGGAAAGATATATAAATCTTGGAGTACCAAAATGTACAGTTCGAGGTTTCATTAATGACTGGGTTCGGAGAAAACACAACTATATGGGAAGTTATTTATAAGAAGACTATGTTTAAAATTAACAGGACTACTTTTCATGAATAGGAACCAGAACAGGACTCATGACTGGGGATGTCTCAGTAAAAAGACACCTGAATAAAATAAGCGTGTATATTGGAGATCTATTGTGTCGACTCTGTTACAAGGAAGCAGAAACAGCAAAACACATTACGTGCAACTGCGAAGCATTGGATTAATTAAAATAAAAATGAATGCTTCGATGGGTTCAAACATGGAACCTTTGGACTAAAGCTCTCCGCGCCTCTATAAGTTGAGATATTATAACACATGGCTCCGACAGTCTGATTCGTGTACTTAAACTCATATTACGACTATCGTTGGCGCTTACACATTCCAATCCCATCTCATCTTTCTAAATTCTCTTTAAAGCCACATTTATATTATATGGACGACAATCTCTGATGAATAAATTTCTAGGATTCTTGATCCGTTCACAAGTGTTAAGTTTTCGAGTACGGTCTGCCGTAAACGTAAAATGAAAAACAAAAGTGAAATGAGAAAATTGGGTGAAATCTGAAAAACTAAAATGCAATATTGAAATTCTGAAAAAAATTTTTGTTAACTTTATAGGAAATATTGGGGGTTATAAATTTTCATATTTTTAAAATTGCATTTTTTCTGTTTCATTTATTTTTAGGTTACTTATTTGATTACCCTTTTTTGACAAACGAATGTGGAATAGAAGTTGAGGACAATTACGTAAAATATTTGTATAAACAAATCATAAATGCAAAACACCCTACCATGGCGATTTTAGGTGTACCACATACAACCTTTTTATTTATAATGTTTGGAATACAGGTAAAGAATTAATAATACTAATAATTATTGTCAATTAAGAAAATCATATTGATCAATGTGTTTTATTGTTGTTAAACATTTTTGACTACCTAGTTGATGGTTTTATTTTCATAATTTATTGTCGGTTTATAGATTTAAAAAACTGTCTTAACAGTAAGTATTATCTCTAAACGGATGACCTGTAAACATAAATTATATCGGTCTAGAATTTAACCATCTATAATGGGGGTTCTATGTACAAATCTAAATGATATTATAGAAATTCCAACGCGTGCAAAAATTGTGTATGTTCATCTGCATGTTAGCTTATTCCTAGTGACTACATTACAAATTTCATGCATCTGCATAGATCAATACAAGTTACAAGACTGTTTCAATAATTTAAAACTAATTAACAGTGTCCACCTACAGATGTCGACGGAGTTCGCTGTTTCTAATACACCATTACCGTTGCTGGCACAACCCCAGAGCTAAATACCGTAAGTCCAAACTGATTTGAGGAATTGTTTATGCAACATTTGCAGCAAGTTGCAGATCTCTTTACAAATTTTTCTTATACGATTTCTCAGTTTTTCCAGATTATGAATTGACATTAAAAAAATCGAGTTATTGATGTACGGCAATACGAAAATGTCAAATATGATTAAATTTTCAGACCTAGTTCGAAATAAGGAATAGCGAATTAAAAACAATGCAGATACTACTCTGAAGAAGACACGGTTAAACATACTATTTTCAAATGTTTCTGATGGGTGAGAAATGGGATGTAAATAAACAAGGAACTGATCAGCGGTTGAGTGCCAACTAAGCGCGTCTCCGGGTGGTGGATAGAAGAACGGCCAAGTTTTCTTTGGTTAGTGGTAGACATCTTTTGCGAAGGCTATCGCCGCGAACCAACTCCCCCAATCTAAGGTGTAAGGTAACGTGCCGACGGACGAATTATCGCAGGGGCAGATGCGGCAGCAAACGCTCCCCTGAGGTAACCTGGCGAAACCGTCTTGTATCTAGCCTTGCCTGCGCATGCGGGGCTCTGCGTCGGTCGACCTGTGGGAACGATATGGATTCTGAAAACCAAAAACCAAAAACCTGAAGAGACTGGACGTCGACGCTCACCTCCAGCAAAGGAGACTGGACGACTAAGTCCAACTCCGGCGCAGGAGGCTGGACAACGACAATTACCTCAAAAAAAGGAGGATGCGCGTCAACGCTTACTTCTTGAAAAGGAGCCTGTACCACAAAGTTCAGCTCCTGTACCGGAGGCTGGACAGCGACGCCCAACTCCAAAAAAGGAGGATGGACAAAGTAGTTCATTTCCCACTAACAGGCCCCGGAGAGGCAAAATAATCTCTGGGTCTTAAGCAAAGAGGAGGAAGAGGGATGCAGGCAGGCAGTGCTACGGCAACCGCCACCATCAGCAAACTCCCTCACTCCAAAATAAACCAAAGCGGCTTAATCAAGTCCTTAGACAGCGACCCTAGTTCTGCCTCCACAAGAGGTCAGGAACACGACGCAACTAGGGACAAGAAAAGGCCGCGATATCACAACTCTTCCGAGATTACGCCCCGGAAGGGGAAAAACCCAGACAGGACCACAAAGTTCTGTCTGGGTTAAGTTACAAGGATGCAGCTACGAGCCTCCTGAAAATAGCTATAATAAACAAGGATAACTCTTACCGAAAGAGAAATCCTTGTTAAAAAGACATTGATGGGAGAGCTGGACAAAACAATCTTGTCCGCCTTCTGCAGCAAAACCAGGTATCCAGTCAATTCGTCGCGCGACAATTTATCGCGCGACCTTTCAGAGCCGACAATTCATCGCCACGACTTTTCATCGCTACGACAGTTTATGGCTACGACAATTCATCGCCACAAAAATATCGTATTGTATCTATGATTTATACAGTATGTCTGAAAAACAAACAATTTTTTTGTGCTATATTGAATTTTTCTTATAAGTACCAAATAAAATAATTTTTTCGAAAAAATTACAAAATATCTCTAAATTACACAAAAATATGATTTACTTTTTTTCTGCTAATCAAGTAGTTTTTACTAAGAAAAATATAATAAATATCAATAATGTATTATTGATAAGCCAATTTAAAGTGTATAAGCGGCAGTAGCAGGTTCTCAACAGTCCTTTACCTACTATTTAAAAAGGATTATCTTCATTAGCCAATTCGGGTAAGTTACCACATTAGTTAATAATAATAGAGAATTATAATTATCCTTTATTAAATCTTTCAAGAAAAAATTCATAGTGCAATCAATATTTAATTCTAAAAAGGATTATCTTCAATAGCTTGTTTGTGTAAGTATTTTAGATGCCCTGTTTATGATATATGTATATAAGGTTTAAATAAGAAATACCAACGAACTGTAATCATTCTTATTTTGTCTTTGTACGAGTTTACATCATTGTAAAATTTTAAAATGCCGTTAAAATTTGTTGACAGCGAAAGAGGTCACAAAATGCTTTTATACAATGGCCATACACATTCTAGAGAAAAAGGTATTTGGAAATGTTCTCTATATCATAAATGGAGATGTACCGGTCGCATTCATATCATAGGCGATGAAATTGTGAAGAGTACCGAACATAATCATGTGTCAGATAGTGCTGATGCCGAAGTAAGAAGAGCTGTTAAAAAAATTAAAGTTTTAGCTGAACAAAGTGGTTCCACTACTCAACAAATCATTGCAAAGGTTTCCGAGGGTTTATCATCATCGGCTGCAGCCAGATTACCACAAGTGAGTGCAATGAAAAGAACTATTCAACGAAAAAAGGAAAAGGCAGAAGGAATTTCTGCTTCAATTAGTTATTCCACAGGAATATACACTGACAAGCAGTGGTCAGTTATTTTTAATGTACGACAGCGGCCCATCAGAAGATCGAATATTAGTGTTTACAACAGCAAGAAATCTTGACTACATGTTGGAGTGTGAACACTTGTACGGAGATGGAACTTTTTCAACAGCCCCTAATATGTTTTCCCAAATATATACAATCCATGGCGTCAAATATTCAAATACCATTCCAACAGTATATGCAATTCTGCCGAATAAAAGAGAAGAAAGCTATAGACGTTTATATGCCGCATTAAAAAATTTGAAACCTGAACTTTACCCTACATATTTTTTAATGGATTTCGAAAAAGCAGCGATGAATGCGGTACGAAGTGAATTCCCTAATACTCAAATTCGTGGATGCTTTTTTTATTTTTCTCAGTGTATATGGAGACAAATCCAGAATACCGGATTTCAGAGGTGATATGTGGATGAAGAAGTGTTTTCATCAAATTTGCGACTTCTGGCTGCACTTGCTTATGTTCCTGAAGACGATGTAGAGAGTGCTTTTGATTTATTATTGGAAAGTGAATTCTATACAGAAACGAGCAGCTTTAATAAACTATTTTGAAGACACGTGGATTGGTAGATTAGACAGAATAGGAAGAAGACGGTTACCAAAATTTCCTATATCTTCTTTTGGCATTGTTACAATGCAGCCAGAGAGGGAATTGCTAGAACCAATAATGCAGTTGAAGGATGGCATAACAGGGTCAGTTCAATTGTTTCCATTGCACATCCCAACATTTGGAGGCTAATTAAGGCTTTACAAAAGGAGAAAAGCCTTAACAAATTAAAAATAGAGCAAATTGTGGCAGGTAATGAAATTACTCAAAAAAAACTTACAAAGATTCTGCACGTCGTTTAAAACTACTTACAGAATCCTACGACGCTCGTAATACCATGGAATATCTTCAAGGAATTGCGCATAATTTTCGAATGCAAATCTAAATTATTTAATATTATTATATTATATTAATTCAATTTAAAATGTAATAACTAGCAACTACAATTTTTTATAATATATTTTTTTTCAATATACCTACTTGTTTTTTATTACCTATACTAAAAAATATATAAAATAAAATTTTGATTATAATAAAAAAAATAAAATAAAAAATAAAATGATTTCTAAAAAATGACTGGCGACAAATTGTCGTGGCGGTGAATTGTCGTAGCGGTGAATCGTCTTACGATGAAATGTCGGCTCTGAATTTTCGCGCGATGAATTGTCGGGCGATGTATTGACGTAGATCCGCAAAACCAAGCCACCCACCTTCAGGTCTTGGACGCACTCTGGTGAAATCATCAGAGTAACGTGCGACGATGACCTGATGTTGGAATGGCTAAAAACCAAGGTACCAACCTTAAAAACATGAGAAGGAGCAACACTCGCTGTTGTAAGGATGGACGAACTCCCCAAGCTCTTCCAAGCCTCTTTCTGGACCCCAGGGGAAGCTCAAGCTGACCTTGATGAGAAGGAGGTTGTTCTCAGGCGACTTGGGGGACAAAACCCAAACTTACATGTGGCAAAGTGGTGCACCGTCCACTACGAAATAAAAAAAGACCCCAAGTCCATCTCTTCGTCTTTGGCAGCGGAGACGAAGACATGGAAACCCTACAGGCCAAATCAATGAGGATAAGCTATGCGTTCACCTCATTGACTATAAGACCAAAGGTCGAAGAAGAGGCTGAAGCGGGGCCCAGTGAAGACACTTTGGTAAAGGACCCTCTTCCCTCCTAATTCAAGCCAATTGTGGAGGACGTCGAGCCAGAAAAAATGGTAATCGATGACCTCCAGCATGAAAAACTCCGAGGAGCCACAAGAGATCACCCCCTCCCCACTTTCGGAGGAAGGGATGGTCGAATAAAAAAACCACCTTGCTGCCCAATTTTTAACGGAAGACTGGGAAGCAATAAAAGAGGTAACTATCATACAATGTAACTTGCAGCACAAAAGGGTGGCTACGGCAACATTATGCCTTGATACCACTACACCCAAATCAACATGCATATACCCCAGGCAGATCTACTGATTCAGCCCTTCATCTAGTTGCTAGCCGGATAGAAAGATCCCTGGACAATAAGGAGTCCGCAGGTACGATTCATATCTACATAGACGGTTCTAAAACAAAACAAGGCTCAGGATGCGGAATATACTCCAGATTCTTTAACCTAAACATAAAATGGGCTGTGAGCAATAGTGTCAGTGTAGTTTAAACAGAGCTAACGGGGATTCTCATAGCAGCAAAAGAAATAACCAGAAATAATATCACTGAAAGAAACATGCTCATCTATACAGATAGCAGACAAGCATTACTTACCCTGAACAGACCACGAATTTATTCAGGGTTAGTACTAGAATGTCACGAAGTTTTGGCCGAAGTATCCATCAACAATGTGATCACCTTAAGATGGATCAAAGGTCACGCTACATCGAAAGGTAACCGGCTTGCCGATTCACTAGTCAAGAAAGCAGCCAACCAAATACTTTTTGGACCTGGCCCTTCTATTGGCCTGAGAAAATCGGTAGTGACAGACCTAATTAAAGAACATTCCCTTGTGAAATTCAAGGAAAGATAGGATGAAACAAGAAACTGCAGAGTTGCCAGAGAGCTCTTATGGTATACTGGCAACACTGCAGCAAACAAATACTTGACTATGACTAGACAGAATCTGCGTCTAGTCACAGGCATTCTGACTGGTCATTGCCAAGTACGGAAGCATCTCCATATCATAGGGTTATCAGAATCACCACTCTGCAGAGGGTGCAAACAAGAAGATGAGACCATCGAGCATATCCTTTACGATTGCCAGACGCTCTCATTTATTAGAAGATTTATGTTCGGCGAGTATCGGCTAACACCGGCCGATATAAAAGAAGCACCTCTTGGCGACGTTGTCAGCTACATTAAATCTGTAAGCTGGCTCACGAGCTAGGAGGTGCTAATCATCTTAGAAGGATGCACAATTGGCCTAACGAGACCTAAGTGCCGTGGGGGTAACCCACCTTCCACACGTTACAGATACAGAAACAAGGAACTAAATGAGGAAGAGAACCTAAGCCAAAGAATATTGTAGAAGCAATTATAAAAAAACAAGGAAAAATTTAGGAATATATACAAATGAATTTCGAACGTTATGGAAAATATGGAAAAAAGAGTGATAGAAGATCAGGAGGCAGAAATTAATAAGGGAAACAAAGATTGCAGCCCTCTTTAATTAAAGTATGTTCCTCTGGAACAGTACTAACAATTGTTGGTGAATAAAGGGTTTAAGTCGGAGTAGCGCCCTATACTACCAGTTAGATACCAAGCGAAAAAAATTAGATATGGTGTTTATTATTCGGTCATCAAGAAATTAAAGGATTTATTTAATGGTACGTGCTTTTGCAGCATCTTGTTTTAAATATGTAATCATTTTGTAATTCCTTACGAATTGACCGAGTATCTTGTTAGGATATCATGCAGCAGTAGTTTTTTTATATTCTTCGGACCCTCGTGTTTTCACCCTAATCCGTCAGTAGCCTGCAGCCTATTGTACAATCATTAAAAGTTACTACTAGTGTCTTCTATTTAGTTCCTTGTTGCTTAACTGTTGCTACTATGTGGATGGACACTAATCTCGAGGCTAGCCTCTACAGTCCTCGTGAGATTACAAAAAAAAAACAAAAATGTAATGTGATGTAATGTAATGTAATGTAATGTAACGTAATGTAATGTAATGTAATGCAATGTAATGTAATGTAATGTAATGTAATGTAATGTAATGTAATGTAATGTAATGTAATGTAATGTAATGTAATGTAATGTAATGTAATGTAATGTAATGTAATGTAATGTAATGTAATGTAATGTAATGTAATGTAATGTAATGTAATGTAATGTAATGTATTGTAATGTAATGTAATGTAATGTAATGTAATGTAATGTAATGTAATGTAATGTAATGTAATGTAATGTAATGTAATGTAATGTAATGTAATGTAATGTAATGTAATGTAATGTAATGTAATGTAATGTAATGTAATGTAATGTAATGTAATGTAATGTAATGTAATGTAATGTAATGTAATTTAATGTAATGTAATGTAATTTAATGTAATGTAATGTAATGTAATGTAATGTAATGTATTGTAATGTATTGTAATGTAATGTAATGTAATGTAATGTAATGTAATGTAATGTAATGTAATGCAATGTAATGTAATGTAATGTAATGTAATGTAATGTAATGTAATGTAATGTAATGTAATGTAATGTAATGTAATGTAATGTAATGTAATGTAATGTAATGTAATGTAATGTAATGTAATGTAATGTAATGTAATGTAATGTAATGTAATGTAATGTAATGTAATGTAATGTAATGTAATGTAATGTAATGTAATGTAATGTAATGTAATGTAATGTAATGTAATGTAATGTAATGTAATGTAATGTAATGTAATGTAATGTAATGTAATGTAATGTAATGTAATGTAATGTAATGTAATGTAATGTAATGTAATGTAATGTAATGTAATGTAATGTAATGTAATGTAATGTAATGTAATGTAATGTAATGTAATGTAATGTAATGTAATGTAATGTAATGTAATGTAATGTAATGTAATGTAATGTAATGTAATGTAATGTAATGTAATGTAACGTAATGTAATGTAATATCTAAACTACGTCCTTGATCGTTTTGTTTATTGTTTTGGTTTTACATATTAGTGGATTCTAAATTAACGCCAGAATCTGATTTGTACATTTAAGTGTATATGGCGTGACCCAATAAGCTTAATGTGGGTTTTGTTTTTTTTGCATGGTTCTAACAGTCAAATTATCTGCAGAGTAGATTAGATATTGAAATCATCACCTGTTGAACCCTAAATAAGGCAAAATTGGTCTTGAAATGTTAGATTTTTTACTTCCAAATCAAAAGGTTTGTTGTTGTATCAATAAAATCTGTTGCCAACACGTTTTATAATACTGTTATTTAATGTCCTGTTGAGCATAAAGCCCTGAAAGTAGTTGTTTGAGATATGGCAACCGCCTTTAATTTTTAAACTAATATAAGCCTGTGCTGGTATTACTGTTTATTTTTTTTTATTTAACTAATTTATATTTAATTTTGTAGATTATAATATTTATATACAAAATACCTAAAAATTAGATTTATTTTAAAGTACCCAACTTTTATAAAAATGTCCTTGTAAAATAATCTCTAGTCAAACTGTTATAAGCCTGGGTTGGTAATGCTGGTATTGTCGTTTTGTTTTTTATTTACCTAATTTATGTTTTTTCTACACCCGTATTATAATAATGCACTTATATGCCCATAATCCGTTTCATAATGATACCCATTATGATACAGATTTTTCATTATGATACAGATTTTTAATCAATAGAAACCTACAATTTTTCAATCAAGCATGATGTTTGACGTTTGTCCTAAATTCCTATGTAATTGTTTTAGTTGTCAAAACGTATTAAATTTTCGTAGATAGCTAAACTTCGATAATTATAATATTAAAATGTCTGATATCAGCGATATAGAACACTCCTCCACACATATAGGAGAAAGGAGAAAATGCAGTACAAAATATTTTGCCCCAAAAATCTGTGGTAATACCAGTACCCAAGGTAATACCATTAATTACAATTTTGTAGAATTTTTTATAGAAATACGAGTAATTACTGTTATTGTGTTCAATACCAATATAAATAGAATATTTATAGGTCTTGATTATTTATCGGGTGTAGAAAAAATAGCGTATGCAACTCTCATGTAATGGTTATTAAAACACTCGCATAAACCATACCTTCTAGCTAAACATAATTGTGCTATTTTTTATTTTTCCATTTTAACTATGATGGCCTTTCCATTGAAATCGGTTTGTCGATTTATCTAATATTGTTATTTTTTATTTCAGATCAGATTTTTTATTGCCTATTTAAAAGGTCAATTTACAGCTTCAAAAGAAACAATGATAGATGATGCTATACTTTTCCAAAAACGTCAAAAGGAAAAGGGCGTGTCTTTGTCAAGAGTAAATCACGAGTATTATGATGACTTATCAGAAACAGCAAAAATTCCAAATTTACCATCCGTATGTCAGAAATTGTTCGACCACGTTGAGGATATTGGAATACTTAAATTTCAAGAAAACTATAAAATTTTAAACGACCAAGAGTTTATTATTGTTTAGTTTTTTTTTTCTATATTAAAGTACAGTTATAAAAACCGAAACAGCTACTTTAAATAGAGTTGATTTAAAAATGTATAATAAATAGTAATTGTTTTCTCAAGGATTAAAAAAATAAAACTTATTCAACTTAGTTCCTACTACTTTTTTCAATTTCGTTTTACTGTTGACATATTATAATTATTATTATTATTATTATTATTATTATTATTATTATTATTATTATTATTATTATTATTATTATTATTATTATTATTATTATTATTATTATTATTATTATTATTATTATTATTATTATTATTATTATTATTATTATTATTATTATTATTATTATTATTATTATTATTATTATTATTATTATTATTATTATTATTATTATTATTATTATTATTATTATTATTATTATTATTATTATTATTATTATTATTATTATTATTATTATTATTATTATTATTATTATTATTATTATTATTATTATTATTATTATTATTATTATTATTATTATTATTATTATTATTATTATTATTATTATTATTATTATTATTATTATTATTATTATTATTATTATTATTATTATTATTATTATTATTATTATTATTATTATTATTATTATTATTATTATTATTATTATTATTATTATTATTATTATTATTATTATTATTATTATTATTATTATTATTATTATTATTATTATTATTATTATTATTATTATTACTATTATTATTATTAAATTTTTATCCCAATTTTTTTTTATCTAATTAAAACATTCAACGGCCAATAGCCACTTACAGAATGAGTAGTAATACAAAAACTTTAAAACTAAAAAATAAGAAAATAATTTACAGCAATGACATTAATAATACAAATACAATATAATTGAACTGAAATTCTGTGGGTACTTTGAAAAAACTAGCAACACAAATGAGGGCAAATAGGTGAAAATAAAAATATGTTTATTTGAGTGCAAATTAAAAACTCAAATACGAGTGCAAAGGGAAACCTAACAAAAATGTTCTAATTTTATTTATCAAAGTACAGAATATATAGATGTTATCTAAATAGTTATTTACCTCTGATAGCATACTGAATAATCGTGATCGACACAGCACATTAGTTCTAGGAATCAGAAGTGAAAAGGTTTGAACATGCCTTGCAGCGAGTCTAAGCATGTAAAAATTAAGTTAACTTAAAAATGTGGGACACTTGATCCGAATATGTACTAAATTATAAATGAAAATAATGGCTGATATAATCCTTCTTGTGTATAAACTTGGAATTTTAAATAATACTAATAGTTGATCCTGGGGAAATCCTATTACTGGATAAGTACCATAAAAATTGAAGTGAAAACATTCTAAAAATTAAAGCTGAACTTATTCTAACGCTAAAATCTAAACACTGATATTGCAAAACCATATAACCGAGGAATATTCCAACTTAGACCTGGAAAGAGCGCATAACACAAGCTTGCAGGTATCCACGTTAATAAAATATTTTATCGATCGTAAAATAAAGCCCAAATAAAGCAGATGCAGTAGTGTGATTTATATGATCCACAAAGGTTAGTTTGTGATCAAGTATGACACCAAGGTCATTAAACGTATCAGATCTATTAAGAATACTACCATATAAGTTACAGTCATAATGGATAGGACATAGGACTTTTTCTACGAGTGTATGACATTGCATTTCATGTACCAGCATTTAAAATTAGACTATTATAAGAACACCATTTGGAAATTATATCAAGATCACTTTGCAGTCGGCTACAGAATTAATCATTAAAATCTATTTTAAGTCGTCAGCATAAAGCAAACGTTTACTATTATTAACTTTTAATGTTTTGTCGTTAGTGAAGATAATGAATTATAACGGATCCAATATAGAACCTTGTGGCATACCAGATGTTTGAAAAAATAAAATTGATTTGTGTCTATTAACTTTGTGAGAAATATCCTCTAGATGAAGACTTTTAAGAATTGTTTATTATTTTAGACTAGCTGATGGCGCACCGTTTTCAAAAAGTCAATATTACAAAAAAAAAATAATAAAAAAGGCAGACTAGATAGCGAAATATAAGGGGATCATTGATATATCGACTTCGACCGACATACCAATTTGTAACCTTATTTTAATTTTTTTCAACTAAGTCTACTTTCTGGCTTAATATTACTATTATTTTTAAATTTAATATATAGTAATCAATAGGTGCACCTCGGAAAATTTATTAATATTTGAATAACTGAGTTTTTATATTCTATTAGAATTAATAAATATATTAAATTAATTTAGATATAATCCACATAAAAGCTACATTCGTACCAAAATATACGATAATCTAGACGTTTTTTTATATGAAAAATACACCATTCCATTGCGATTTGTTAAGATGATTTCTAAATAAAAAAGTAGCTTTCATACAAGCATAATATCCATCTATATGACTGTAATAAAAAAATTTAAATTTTATTCATAACTTACCAGAAAAATAGTTATACATACCTGAAATAAAAAAAAATGTTACTTAATTTATTTATACAACTACTAACTACAAAGAGGCATTAATAAAATACATTTGCATTCCTAATGCATTCTTAACGTACTGTCAAAAATTCTTTGATGACACGCTTCCCAATGAGCACAGGTACGTTAAAAAACGTTGAAAACTGGTTAATAACCAAACGTATAAGAAAAAGTTCGAATGCCGCGACAAATAACGTTATTAACGACAACAAATTGCATTTAAAATTAACGTATGTTTGTAATTTCATGGTACTATTAAGATATTAGAATCAAACGTTGAATTTTACATAGTTTCTAACATGAAAGAGAAGAAATATCGGTTGATTTTAAATAAAAAAATGTCTTATTTTTCGTTTTCTAAACGTTAATAAATTACGCATTTTCAAGTGATTCAATAAACGTTTGTATGCCAACCAAATAATCTTTTATTATGTATTAATTACAAATATATTACACAATTAAACGTTTATTATTATGCAGTAGTTAAACGTTGTAAAACAACTTTATTTAAACTTCCATCTAAAATTAAAATAAATAAGTTTAATATAATATTCAAACAATACTAACTAAAGTAAATATATAAATATAAATATCCTTTTTTTGTCTTGACTGAACTAACATTCATAAAGTTTCAATATATCATTCGTAGCGCTTACGACTTAGATAGTTGGAACAGTCTGTTTTTTGGAGCGCCTTCTCTTAGAACGTGAAAAGGTTTAGATACAATAACGTTTTCTATACGAATTATATTTACTTTAAATTAACCTTAATATTATAAGTATAATTAACAAAATTATCGACTTTTAGTTATATAATAACGTTTAAAAATAATATTAACATAGATAAATAATATAAATTAAAACAAAGTTAATTTTTAGTTTAAAATATAACGATACAATAACATTTTTATCACGACTTTTATGTAATTTAAACTAACGATCATATTACACGTATATTTAAAAATTATGCTTCACATCCTTGTTAGTGGAAATAAAGATAAACATGTAGTATACCTATGTTACGCCGCTGACCCACATGTTCAGATAAAAGATTTTACGTTACACTCTATCGCTACCTGCTTAGATTACTCAATAATTACCAATTGTTGTGTCGCATGATTCACATCGTTTAAACTGGACCACATTTCAGCGATTATAAAAACATGGATAAAAACTATCGAAAACGAAAATCGTCTCAAAAATACGATAAATTAAAAAAGAAATGAAGAAGTTCAGACCACAGGTAGGAAAATAATGTTTTTCTTTTTATTTAACTGAGTTTTAGCTTGCAGAAGATACTACTTTATGTGTAAATTTCTGCATTTAGACGACAAAAGATACTACTTTATGTGTTAACGGTGCAGTAATTCATAAAATCTGTCTGCAAAACGAAAAATGCTACTTAATGTGCAAATTTCGCAAAATTTTGATGAGGGCAGATACTATTTTATGTGTAAATTCTGCATTATAGACAAAGACATGTACAGAGGAGGCTACTTTATATGTTAACTCTGATCATATACTAGTACAGGTTTGAGAATGGTTTTCTTCATAATTTAATTGATTTTTAGCTTGCAGAAGATACTGCTTGACTGTAAATTTCTGAATTTAGACGACATATAAATATGCAGAAGATAAATTATTCATATAAGCCGTATGCAGAGCGAAAAATGCGATTTAATGTGCAAATTTCGCAAAACTTATGTGGCGGAAGATACTACTTTATGTGTAAATTCTGCAAATAACAAATAACTATACAGAGGAGGCTACTTTATGTGTTAACTCTGATCTTATGCTGGTACAGGTTTGAGAAAGGTTTTCTTCATAATTTAATTAATTTTCAGCTTGCAGAAGATACTGCTTTACTGTAAATTTCCTAATTTAGATGACATATAAATAAGCAGAAGATATATGATTTATATAAGCCTTATGCAGAGCGAAAAATGCGACTTTATGTGCAAATTTTGCAAAACTTTTGTGCCGGAAGATACTACTTTATGTGTAAATTGTGCAAATAACAAATTAATGTACAGAGGAGGCTACTTTATGTGGTAACTCTGATCTAATACTTGCATTATGCAAGCCCAGCTAACTGCAATGCGAAAAATGCTTCTAATGGGTAAGTTTTGTTAAATTTTGGTCAATAAGATACTATTTTATCTGTAAATTATTTAAGCCAAATAAATGTACAGAGAAGGTTACCTTATGTGTTAACTCTGATCTTATATGTATAAACTGCAAACTCGGCTAACTGCAACTCGAAAAATACTATTTAATGTGTAAAACTTTGGTCGAGAAGATACTATTTTATGTATTAACTCTGAACTTATACTTATAAACTGCAAACTCGGCTAACTGCACCGCGAAAAATGCTATTTAATGTGTAATATTTAATGTTTAAATTCTGCATAATATTGCAAAATAAATGTACAGAGAAGGCTACTTTATGTATTAACTCTGATCTCATACTTAGCCCAGCTA